GTAGTGCAACACTCCTAGGTTCAATACCCAGTTCCACAAAAATAAAGCTAGTGCACCCAAAACCAATTTGCTCCATGGCCATTGTCTTAGTATTAAGCCTTTATATCTGCTTTCTGGCCTTCCTTCCTCTCTTTCTCAGGCTCTTCCCTGCACGTACCTCAGCCTCCAGCTGCAGAAGCTGAATGCAGACTCAGAGAAAGAAGTGCATACTAAAAATCTGGTAACCAAGATAACAGAAGATCTAAAAATTTAGAAGAAAAAAACAAGTTTCTTATTTTACCATTTGGGAAGTGAATTACAAGTGTACTAACCAATGAGGAAAGTGCTTTCTTTATGTGGTACTATGCTTATAAAATTTACAAAATTTTTACCACAAAATTTATTGTCCAACTTGGGACACATTGGACAGTGAAAAATGGTGCTACCCATGGTTGCAGAAGAATAACAGGCATAATAACTGCCAGTGACAGGAGTGTTCACAACAAACATGAAGAGCACTTTCTACCATACCTGATGGTATTTGGGATGGCACCCTTCACCCATCCTCCACCCACCGTCTGACTCTTGTAAGTGTGGGTGCTGTTCTTTCCCTCCCTGTAGGTCATAAATTCCTCAGAGTCAGGATTGTGGTCAGCATCCCCCTTCGACTGAAGCACATCACATACGATTCTCTGCATATCACAACCAAGCTATAGATGTAGGCTTTTTTCATGAGGGTAGGTAACTGACAGGTGTGAATTGTGGGGCTCCAGGGGATAGGCACACATAGAGTTCCACAAGGACCCTAGGGGTCACCATGGAAGTGCTAAACTGTGGAGTAGGAGATGCAGGGTAAAGCCTCCTCAAATTCTTGTCTTTGCGTCCTCTGGCTGGCTCTGTGAACCTCCTCTTACAAGTTTCTTCAGTCTATTCCCACTGGTCCCAATCTTGGTCCTGTCCCAGAGCTCCCTCATGAGCTCTCTTTAATTGTAAGCTTGGGAGCTCCTGTTCCAGGGCTGGAGTGTGTGTGGGTTCCCTTGGGAGTTGTCAACCTCGCCTTCCTCCCTCAGTGTCCATGCTAAGTATCTGCACGGATGCTGAGGAGTCCTACACACAGGTGAGAGGCAGGTGCACTATGAAAGGTGAGCAGGCAGAACGGGTGCCCAGATGTCGGCTCTCACCCCACTTATCCCCATCATCTCCTTGCCTAAGTCTCCTTGTCTCAGTACTTTGCATCACACCATCCTCTTTAAATTGACATATAATAACTACATATGTATGGGGTATATTGGGATATTTTAATATACGTATACAATATGTAATGACTAGGCAAGAATAACTGATATACCTATCACATCAAATATCCATGATTTTTTTTTTACTTTCTCCTTCCCATGAGAAGAAGAGGCTGTTGTCTGTCAGAGGAGGCTGTTGTGAGAGAGTGTCCATGGAAAGCAAGGGTGACATGAACATCTAAAACCTGGCAGAGGGATTGATGGAGGTTGCAGAATGAGACCTTATCTGGAGGGGCCAGCTGTCTCTTGTTCCTTTTCACTTAGTAAGTGCAAACAAAAGAAAAGGACAATTAAGCTGCTTTGCTGCTAGAAACTCCTCCTCAGGGCATCTCTGCTGAATTTGACTTCCTGCAAGAACCTCACCCAAAGGTGAATGTCATTTTCCCATCACTTCTCCTGCCTTCTCTCTTCCTTGCAGTTCTTTATACGGGTTATTGGTTTGTTTACCCTTTCTGCTTATGTATCAGCCTATTCTCTCTTTAACTTGCATTACTGAGGTAAAGTAGAATAATTAATCTGATGACTGTAGGGCATAAAAATTAAAATGCCAGTTTACCGATTATGTACTGCTCATCACTAGAACAAAGCACAGATCTCTGCCTCTTCTCAGCAGATTAAAGATAAACTAATGTACGCAAAGTAGTTGATTTCTAGTTTTCTAGGCTCCCTGGAAACCCCTGCCCTGTATGATGATGAGATTACTTCTCAAAATTCTCAGAATCCATGTTATCACAGTCATTAGGATTTGAGATTGGAAACATGATAGATTAAGACAGCCCCCACTGAGCTCCCATCCCCTTGAATATGGGCACCAGAAATAATGCAATGTCACTTTCGACATTAGGCAACAAGAGATTTCCTCTTCTGCCTAGGACGCTTTGACTCCCATTCAGTTGTGAATCATTTGCCCTGGGAGAAGTCAGCTTCCACGCTGCTGGGAGGGTCACAGCCATCCACTGACACATGAGTGATCTTGAAGGACAGTCTTTCCTGTCATGTTTCTGGAGGACTGCCCATGGTCAACCTCTGGACAGTAACCACGGGGGAGGCCTTACATCAGAGGTTTTCTTCTAAGTGACACTGGAATTCCTGGCCCACAGAAACTGTGAGATAATAAATACTCATTGTTGTCATTTAAGCTGGTCACTTTTGGAACAATTTGTTGCATAGCAACATGTAACTAACACAAACTTATAGGAAAAATACTACATCATTGTGCTACCTACAGAAGCACAGAAATGCCTAATACTGCAGCCTTGGAGAGAGGAAGAGGTGAGGGAAACTGGATGGGTGAGGAAAACAGAACAGGAAGAGGCCTGTAAGAAACACAGAGGTATGAGTCAAAGCCTTTCTTCTCTCTTTTTTTCTTTGGAATTGTCATTATTAATTTATTTTTACTAGTATATGTTTGTGATGTATAGCAATCACATTCATCTTAATCCTTTTCTTCTACTTCCTTTTCCTGCTCTCTCACTCCTACCATCCCCCAGATCACTCTCCAATCTCTGTGAAGTAGTTTACATCCCAATTTCCTGGTCTATCTTATATTTTTCTCTTTAAATTAATTCTATTTTGGGTTTTTGTTTTGTTTTGTTTTGTTTTGGTGTCAGGAATTGAACTCAGGCCCTTGTGCTTGCCAGACAGGTGCTTGTGCTGCTGAGCTATATCCCTGGCCCCTACCTTGGGTTTCTCTTAAGAGAAACAATGTGGTATTTAACATTCTGTGTCTGACTTATTCCACTTGGCATTATGGTCTCAAGGTGCATCCATTTTCTTACAAATGACTCAACATTTTCTCCTTATGGCAGAGTAGCTCTCTAGAAATGCCTGTGAGAGGGATGAGAAGATTCACCCAGGTGACTGTGAAAGGCCAGTGATAAAAGAGTTGTGGTCAGAGCATGGTGATGTTTTCCACCCAGTTGTTTATAAATATTTATTCTTGTATTTGCCTTGAGTTCTACTACTTTGACTATGATCAAAGGAGTTTGGCACTTTAAACTATGCAGATTTATATTCTGATTCTGCTTTGCCTGTGTAAAATTACATTATGTCTCTGGCTTCCTTCCATAGAAAGGTGTTTAGGGCAAGTTCTTGATCAAACATTAAGAGAAATCCCTCTTCATTGACAGGCCACAAATAAATCAGTTAGCACTTTGATAAGACAATGAGTAAATGATTCACAAAAACAAAAGGGAAGAGAGGCATTGTGATGCACATCTATAATCATAGCAATTAGGGAGACTTAGGCAGGAAGATCACTTGAACTAATGAATTCAATGGCAGCCTGGACAATACTATACAGTGAGACCCCATCTTCTAAAAGAGTAGAAAATATCAGTTAGAAGAATTTGAAAAGGATGCTTTTAATTTTATACTAAACATACCACACACACTGGTTTGTAACCCACTTCTACTATGGTCCTGATTATGAGATTAAAAGATAAACTTGAGTCATTTATAGAAAAAAATGGATGCATTTGGAGATCACAATGCTAAGTGAAATAATTCAGACACACAAGCTTAAATATTGCATGGTTTGTCTTGCATGAGAAACCCAAATTATAAAAAAAAAAAAAGTAAGAGATATGTAATAGGAAATAGGGAGATAGATCTTTCACAAATGGGAAGGGGATCAAGAGATGGAGGAGAAAAGGGAATGAAAAAAGAAATTAGGCTATGTTATGTCCTTGTACCAACTCCACACAAAGAAAAGAAATGTGTAATAGCAAAAATAAATACATAAAATAAAAAAGTCTCAGTGTAACTGGGTACTTCATTGTTTTAGAAGGTTGGAGTCCCAAGTCATTGTTTCTTTCCATGAGCACTGTGACTTTTCTGTTACCCCAATATGATGGACAGTGACATCATCTAGTTATATCTAGTTCTTTCTCATTTGGGGCATTAAATAGCTTTTCCTTTATCAACATTATACCAAAGGGGTTCCCATCATAAACTCTCAGAATATAAATATACACAGACTAACAAGTAACTCATGCACAATTCCTTTTCTTTTTGGAACATATGTAAATTATCTCTTGGGAATGAAGTCATTCAAACCCTATTTGAATAATAATTTACCAAATCCTTATGATCCCAAATAAAAGATAGTATTGGTGAGCATGGTGCCAGATACTTGGACTCCCAGCACTCAGGAGGCTGAGGCAGGGAAATGGAAAGTCCAAGCCCAGGCTGGACAATTTAATGATTTTATGAGACCCTGTTTCAAAAATAACAAGTTAAAAAACATAAGTCTAGGAAAGAAGCTCAGTCTTAAGGCCCTGGGTTCAATCCAGTTTTAAAAAGTATATTAAAGCCAAGATTTTGACTGCTGAATTGAATTGTTCAAAGTTCCAATGACAATAAAAAACATTCTATTCTTTCTCTTCTTAGTAATGATACAAAACAATACAGATAGATGGTCCAATGTGATGAGCAAAGAGGACTCCTCCAACTACGTTATGGAAATATGGAGGTGTGTCCCCATTACGTCCCAGTGCTTACACTGTTAAGCTTTGATAATTTATAAACAAAATAGCTGACATGAAATGTAGAATGCAGAGTTCAAGTGTTTTTAAATGTCCATAAAAGGGGCTGAGAATATTGCTAAATGGTAGAATGCTTGCTTAGCATGACCAGTGTTTTGGTTTTGATCCCTAGAACTGCAAAAAGCATCAGTCCATTCAGCATATTTTTGTCCCTATTCTTTAGGTGACCAGGAACTGAGCCATGGCAGTATGGTTGAACCAATCATCCACAGATGACTTCGTCCTTTTGGGCATTTTTTCCCACAGTCCAACTGATCTTGTTCTTTTCTCTGTAGTCATGACAGTCTTCACAGTGTCCCTCTGTGGGAATGTTCTTCTCATCTTCCTTATCTACACTGATCCACGACTTCACACTCCCATGTACTTCTTCCTTAGTCAGCTCTCCCTCATGGACCTAATGTTGGTCTGTACCAATGTGCCAAAGATGGCATTCAACTTCCTGTCTGGCAGGAAGTCCATCTCCTTTGTGGGTTGTGGTATACAAATTGGTCTTTTTGTCTGTCTTGTGGGATCCGAGGGGCTCTTGCTTGGACTCATGGCTTATGACCGTTACGTAGCCATTAGCCACCCACTTCACTATCCTATCCTCATGAATCAAAAGGTCTGCCTCTGGATGGTTGGGAGCTCCTGGGCTTTTGGGATACTAGATGGCTTGATTCAGATGGTGGTAGTAATGAACTTCCCTTACTGTGACTTGAGGGAGGTGGACCACTTCTTCTGTGAGATGCTATCCTTGTTGAAACTGGCCTGTGTAGATACATCCCTTTTTGAGACAGTGATATTTGTTTGCTGTGTTTTCATGCTGCTCTTTCCCTTTTCCATCATTGTGGCCTCTTATGGTCGAATTCTGGGGACTGTGCTCCGTATGCGCTCTACTCAGGCCCAAAAAAAGGCTCTGACCACTTGCTCCTCGCACCTGACAGCTGTCTCCTTCTTCTATGGGGCAGCCATGTTCATCTACCTGAGACCAAGGCCCTACCGGGTCCCTAGCCAGGACAAGGTGGTCTCTGTCTTCTACACAGTCCTTACTCCTATGCTTAATCCTCTCATTTATAGCTTGAGGAACAGGGAGGTGATGGGCGCACTGAGGAATGGATTGAACCACTGCAGGATCAGTAATCAGCACTAAACGCCAGGGCAACTGGGGCCTGGCCTCAAACTCCTGGGTTCAAGCAATCTTCCTGCATCAGCCTCCAGAATAACTGAGATAAGCTGTGTCCCCTAGGTAAATAATTCACTCTTTTTAGGATTTAGTTTTATCAGTAATGAGAATCATGGCACCTGCATGCTGGGGAAGTTCTTTAACAGCCTAAACCGGTATCTCTCTCTCCCTCCCCACCACCTCTCTCTCAAAAGACAGATTTTTTTTCCTCAATCTGATACAGACTGATTGTTTTGTAAAATACGTTAAAGAGGAATGGAGGAATTTGTAAACTTCAGTATATGCAGAAATAAGAGGCTGGGATTGTTATCATTTATTACATAAAATTAGAATTACTTTCATTAACAGATGGGTCTCTGAGCAGAACTTGCTGATTCTTCTTACTAATGTAGACCATTTATTCAGAGTATATCATTTGAGAGGCACTATGTTATATGCTTCATTTATTTATGTAGGAATAACTTGCCTTTTACTTATTTAATGCCCCACACTAACAGACTCTCACTAGTGTTTTGGTGAAAAGATTCCAGATAGTACAAAATCAATCTATGTAAATCTCTTTGGTGAATTCCTACCTTTATGTCATGAATCTGGAAACTTTAGGACTACTTTAAGCCAGGCATAATGATGCGCACCTGCAATCTCAGCACTCTGAGGCTGAGGCAGAAGGATTTTAAAAATTTAAACCCAGCCTGGGAGGGGCTGGGGATTTAACTCAGCGGCAAAGCGCCTGCCTGGCAAGCGCAAGGTCGTGAGTTCGGTTCCCGGTGCCGGAGAAAAACCAAAAAAAAAAAAAAAAAACCCAGCCTGGGCAACTTAGCAAGACCCTAGCATGAAATAAAAACAGATATGGCTGGGATGTAGGTCAGTGTGAAGGCCCTGCATTCAATTTTTAGTAGGGGAAAAAAAGACTATTTTCAAGAATAGAAATGCAAAGTCTTTTAGATTCATGAGAAACAGTGTAAAGACTTATATATTTGTATATTCAGGTCTGCACACTGGAAATACCACTGAGAACTGTGTATATATACAATCCTCTAGCAAAATTTGCCACTCTTTATCACTTCATATTTTGTTTGTTCGTTGGTTTACACTCTTTCTTTCTTTTTTTGATCTGGTCTAGCAATGTTGCCCAAGCTGGCCTCATACTTCCGGGCTCAAGTGATCTCCTTACCTCAGGCTCCAGAATAAGCTGTATCTTCTCAGGTATTAAGACTGGAACATAAAACTGGGCATGGTAGTATAAGCCGGTAGTCCCAACACTCTGAGAAGCTGAGGCAGGAAGAGTGCAAATTCTATCCCAGCCTTGGCAACTTACTGACTTAATGAGACTCTGCTTCAAAACTTAAAATAAAAACAAGTCCAGGGATGTAGCTCAGTGCAAAAAGCCCCAGGTTAATTTTTAGTACCAAAAGAAGAAGAAGAAAAAAAAAATACTGGAACACAGAACAAAATTTATTCTTTTATTTTAAAATTTATTTTCAAATATTTGTATTCAACCACAAATGGCTTGCTCATAACCTGTTAAACTTAGATGCAATCCTTAGTGCACAATTCCAATAAAGCTACCTTTTCTTGTAAAAAAAATTATCTCCATTGAAAGCCTAGAAAAAGGAAGGGGCGAGTTGAGTCCTGGGAATTTGGCTAAGCCACGGGGAGATATTCACTCAGTTTTAGGATTTGAGATTTACCATGAAGTGTGGTTTGTAGAGAAGTGGTAGGGTGCAAGCTTAACATGTATGAGGCCTTGGTTCAGTCTCCAGCACTGAAAGAAAGAAAGAAAGAAAGAAAGAAAGAAAGAAAGAAAGAAAGAAAGAAAGAAAGAAAGAAAAGGAAGGAAGGAAGGAAGAAGGAAAGGAAGGAAGGAAGGAAGAAGGAAAGAAAGGAAGGAGGGTCTTATGATAGGCCATGACTACATAGTTACCTTGGTTTAATTTGCACAACAAACACTCTGGAGTGAATACCATTACTAATTTAGGGTTAATACTAGGACTGAGGAAATCAAGACTTGGGTTTAAGTACCCAGCAAACAAAGGTTTACTTTCATTTGCCTTAATTAGTCTAGTGATGGGACAATCATGTTTGATTTTATTTCTTTCTTTGTGTCTTTAACTCATTTCTTGAACAAAGGCCAGGGTTTATTCTTTTTTGCAGCACTAGGGATCAAACTCAGGATCTGGTACAGGCTAGGAAAGTACTCTATTACTGAATTGCACCCCCAGCCCAAGGCCAAAGTTTCAGTTAACAAATATCTATGAAGCACTTGCTACTGCTCAGAAATGTAGTATGTTCTAGAGCACAAAAGAGCTCTCCCTTGTGTCCAGGCCCATAATTCAGTTACCTAACCAATGATTGTATGAAATAAGACATGTTAATTTCATAATTAGTCTTAGTGTGTATAATTAAAAATGTAGAAATGTTGTAAAGTAAGGAAATAAGAGAGAGAAATATAATATGTATCAATGCATGGGAAAATAGAAAAAATAAGAATCTTGCCGGGGTGTACAAAAGTTTGTGATACTTGCTTAAATTCGTATATGCTTAAAATTTTCTATAATAAGCAATTTAAATTCAGAAAAACCACTGCTGTTTACCAACTACTTCACCACATCTTCTTCTGGTTCACCTCACTCGGGGATTTTTGTGCATGCATGTGGCAAATCTCTATTGTAATCACATCAATCCAAGTCAAATTGTAATGAATGTAAAAGAGTAATACATTGTAGTAAATTGCTTTACACCTACAGTTGCGAAGACTGTGTATATGTTTGTGTGATATAGTAAAGCTAAAGTGAAATCTACATAACAGTAAGGATTGTATTTGTCATAGTCACATAGTATCCCATAGTCTGGCCTTCCAAGGAAACTATCTGCTGTAGTAAAGAGTACGGAAGATCAAAGATTAATCTTTCCAGCCGGGCATGCTGGCGCAGGCCTGTAATCCCAGCACTCTGGAGATTGAGGCAGGAAGATCACTGCGCGTTCCCCAGGCCAACCTGGGCTATCCAGTGAGTTCAAGGCCAGCCTGAACTGCAAAGCGAAAACCCTGCCTGAAAATGACCAAAAAAAAAAAAAAAAAGTAATCTTTCTCACACAGAAAAACAAATAGCCACAGGAGGGCAGCAGAGAGCCAAGCGCCCAAACAGGCCAGACAATAACGTGTAGAATCTGGTTTGGGTTTAAGAGCTGAGATGCACACAGAAATGGAGATTCTGTTAAACATCACATATTTTGTTTAATATGACAGACCAAAAGTATAAGAATGTAAAGAGAAAAATCAAAGACACATGTTATGAAACTGAGAGGCAGACACTGGAGAGACAGGAAAAGGGTTGGGCAAGAGGAAGCGGCAAAGAGTGAGGTTGGGGAGATAAAAATAAGCACGATGTGGTATGTATCAGTCCCCCAAGCTGAATGCAATCATTATGCACCACAAACATACACCAATAAACACTTCTTAAAAATAGAATGTGTGCATGGAAATGCATGTATGTGCAACTGGGGTAAGGGGGTGATAAGGGATGAAAATGATCAAAATGTGTTATGTTGAACGTATGAATCCGCCAGAATAAAGCCCGTTAATCTGTATAATCAGCTTGCACTAATTAAAAAACAAATGTAAAACAAACAAAAATAAATGGAGTTTTGTTTCATTTGGGTCTTATTTTTTTAACCTGAAATTAAAATATGACACTTTGTTATCTCTGAAATATGCAGAGGCAACTTTCATAGATTGGAGGCAGACCTTGAAAAGTAGATGCTGTTTTAGGCAGAAAAGTGAGGTGGGCCATCCAGGCTATTCCACCTTTGTTATCTGCTGCCCTTAGCAAGTTCCATAGCATCTCTGTGCTCAGTGTCCTCATCTGTAGAACTGGGTACCAGATGTTCCCGGGATGGGTGTGTAGCTCAGTGGTAGTGCACTCACGCATGCACCAGCACTATAACAAACAGCACTAGTAGTACGTACTTTAGAGGGCTGTCATGAGAATAAAGAGTGAAGCTTATGAATGAAACAGAGGTCCAGCACACAGAACCTCTATGTGTTAGCTGTGTTTTGTTTTGTCTTGTTTGTTTTGATGCCAGCGATTGAGACCAGGGCCCTGTGCTTGCTAAGTATGTGTTCTGACACTGAGGATACCCCCAACCTTGTTTATTTTTACAGATACATATGCTCCTTGACTTATGATGGGCTTATAGCCTACTAACTCATTGTAAACCAAAAATATACTAAGTTGAAAATGTGTTTACAGGTGGGTTGGTGGTGTACACCTATAATTCTAGTATTCTACAAGGCTGAGGCAGAGAATGACAAGCTTGAGACAATACTGGGCAACTTAAGGATTTAGCAAGATCTTGTTTCTACATAAAAATTAAAAAATAACTGGGGATGTAGTTCAGTGTGAAGGCCCTGTTTTCAATCCCCATTACCACATAAGAAAAAAGAAAATATATTTAATGTACTTAACCTATTTAACACCCTAGCTTAGCCTACCTTAAACATGCTAACTTACATTATCCTGAAGTTGAGCAAAATTATTCAACTCAAAGCCTAATAAAAACGCTGGCAACAGCACAAACAAGTGTGCACCCTCACAATCAACCCAGAACTGTGACTACTAGCATCTTGAAAGAAACATGGTAGGCATCAGTAGCCTGGGAAAGGGTCAAAATTCAAGTTTTAAGTACTATTTAAGTTATACTTTTGCACCACCATAAAGTTAATTTTAAAAAAACACTAACTGAAACCTTCATAAACCTGAAACTGTCTGCCATTATCAAGGGTACAATATCTATGAAACTGTCATTTTGGAAGGTAGTGGGAAACAAACTGACATTTTGGAAGGCAGATAGAATGAAACACATTGTGGGGACCAAGCACTTTGAAAGGCTGAAGCAGGAGGACTGCAAGTTCCAGCCCAGCCTGGCCAACTTACCAACTTAGTGATACCCTATCTCAAAATTAGAAG